AAAAAAAAAAAAAAAAGTCACTCCGGGATCAAGGCCTCTGAAAAGGAGCAGAATCAAAAGCAGCAGAATCACAACTTTAACCAGGACATTCTCTTTGAGAGAACAGTGCCTCCTGTCACAGTGTTGGTAGGTGTGAGTGCTACAGCTTTGGGACAATGGGACAATTCTTTGCACAGATGTGCGGGCTTCTCTAGTGGGATAAAGAGGATTTCTTTTTTTTTCTTTTTTTTTTTTTTGAGACAGAGCCTCAAGCTGTCCCCCTGAGTAGAGTTCTGTGGCATCACAGCTCACAGAAACCTCCAACTCCTGGGCTCAAGCGAGTCTTCTGCCTCTGCCTCCCAAGTAGCTGGGACCACAGGCGCCTGCCACAACACCTGGCTATTTTTTTTTTTTTTTGGTTGCAGCCATCGTTGTTTGGCAGGCCCAGGCTGGATTTGAACCTGCCACCTTAGGTGTGTGTGCCTGGTGCCTTAGCTACTTGAGCCACAGGCGCTGAGCCAGATTTCTTTTTCTTTTGAGACAGAGTCTTACTATGTCACCCTCAGTAGAGTGCTCTGGCATCACAACTCACAGCAACATCAAAGTCTTGGGCTTAAGCAATTCACTTGCCTCAGCTTCCCAAGTAGCTGGGACTACAGGTACCCGCTACAACACCAGCTTTTTTTTTGTTGTAGTTGTCATTGTTCTTTTAGCTGGCCCAGGCCAGGTTTGAACCCTCCAGCCTCAGTGTATGTGGCTGGCGCCCTACCTGCTGAGCTACAAGCACCACTGAGGATTTTTGGAGTCACTTCTGTTCAGAATTAAGTGCTTAATTTTGAGGAAGAGAATATATGTTTTCTTTATTCTCTGCAACTTTATTGCAGTATAATTTTTTTTTTTTTGAGACAGAGCCTCAAGCTGTTCCCCCCCCCGCCCCGGGGTAGAGTGCCATGGCTTCACTGCTCACAGCAACCTCCAACTCCTGGGCTCAAGCGAATCTCCTGCCTCAGCCTCCCAAGTAGCTGGGACTACAGGCACCCGCCACAACGCCTGGCTATTTTTTGGTTGCAGCCGTCACTATTGTTTGGTGGGCCCAGGCTGGATTCGAACCCGCCAGCTCAGGTGTATGTGGCTGGCGCCTTAGCCGTTTGAGCCACAGGCACTGAACCTGCAGTATAGTTTATATACCATAAAATGCACTTGTTTAAATATATAATTCAATAATTTTTCTTGTGACTTTTGTAAAGAAGTATAATTCAGTGGTTTTTAGTCAATTTACAGTTGTGCAACCATAACCATAATACAATTTTAGAACATTTCTGTTATCTCTAAAAGATTGCGTGTACTTGTTTGTCCTCACTTCCCATTCCCCTTCTCTTAGCTGTAGACCACCACCAGTTTCCTCTCAGTCTCCACAGATTTGCCTTTTCTGGATATTTCATGTAAATGAAATTATATAGTGTGTACCTTGTGGGTGTGATTGCTTTCACTTATCATAACGTTAAGTTCATTTGTGTTGTAGCCTCTGTCTGTCTTTTTACTACTAAATAGTTTCCTTTGTATGGATAGACCATATTGCTTATCCATTCACTAGCTAATGAATATTATATTGTTTCCACTTTGGGGATAGTATGAGTAATTCTGCTATGAACATTCATGTGCAGATCTTTGTGTGGATATATGTTTTCATTTTTAGGGGTAGATTCCTAGGAGTAGAATTGTTGAGCCATATGGTAAGTTTATATTTAATTTTCTAAGAAACACCAAGCTGTTTTCCAAAAAGGCTGTACCATTTTACATTTCTACCAACAATGTTCAGAAGGATTTTAGTTTCTCCGCATCCTTGTCAACATTTGCCATTGTTTGTCTTTTTATTATACCCGTTTTTGCTGTGTTTTTAATGTGAATATCCCTAATGGCTAAAAATGGTGAATATCTCTCATGTGATTTATAGCCCTTTTTTCTTTTTTTTTTCATTTTTAAGACAGAGATTCTCACTTTGTCACCCTGGGTAGAGTGCTGTGGCGTCATAGCTCACAACAACCACAAACTCTTGGGCTCAAGCAATGCCCTTGCCTCAGCCTCCGGAGTAGCTAGAACTACAAGTGCCTGCCACAATGCCCAGTTAGTTTTTCTGTTTTTAGTAGAGATGGGGTGTTTTCAAAGAACTCAGGCTGGTCTCAAACTCAAGCAGTCCACCTGCCTTGGTCTTCCAGAGTGCTTTTTTTTTTTTTTTTT